AACTTGTATCCTTACTGCGTCAGATCACGTTGTCCCCAAAATGGTGCCGTACCGGGGAAGCTAGGCTAATACACACACATTATTTAACGGTTTTACACATGTAAACAGCGCTACAAAGTCTTTAACTGTTAGCAGGCCATTACATATTATTTACGCAAACCTTATGGGGGATTCATTGTGATTTACAGTGACCATTGCATGTATAAAAAATATGTGTAATGTGTATTTGTAAAGTGCTTTGAGCATCTGGAAAAGCGCTATAATAAATGTAAGGAATTATTATTATTTATGCACAGTTTACCAACTTGTATGGTGCAGGTGAGACAGAAGTAATGAGGACACGTTGTGTTCAGTTTCCTTCCAGATTACTTCTGAGGAAACCCCGGGAATGTCCGTCGCTGTAGTCGGTACCCCGGAATCATTGAATCGAACACAACCGTTCCGCCTCACTACTTACTGCATCTATCGACCCCGTTAGTGAAATGAAAATAACAGATGTAGCAAACAAAGGCATATTCCAACTCTAAACAATAATAATTATTATATCAATGTGGTCACACATCCCAGGGGTGCCACACGCTCCCCGACAACAAAAGTGGCTCCCGACACTTAATTGAAATCACATGTCATTCAAGATAGCTTTAACATCTTCATAAAACACAAATATTTACAATGTCTACTAAATGGATCTCAAAATGTGGTCACACGTCCCAGGGGTGCCACACAAATACAAATACAATTTATTGAAATGTGAACCAAAAGTTAATCAAAAATGTTTTAAATAAAAAGCACATATGGACAGAAGGTGTAAACCTATTAAATGTATAAGTAAACACATTTAGTCAAATAAAGTGACAGACTAGGACTGTGTAGTTGGTATCAGCTCCTCCATCAGGCCTGGCCCTCCTCGCAGAGGAAAGACCCTCAGTCCTCTCCAAACCAACAGACAGGACGTCCATCACGCAGAGGTTTCTCCCTGAAGTCTCTGCAGCTCTTTGGACACAACGCTGTCTCAATCTGTCCACACTGAATATGAGAGGGGGAAAATGAAAATAATAAATGCTTTAGACAATAAGAAATATAAAGTTTACTGTTGAGTTGCTCAGTTTTTTTAGATTGTCAATACTATTACTGTATAACTAATATATCAGGTTAATAGGCACATTCAAATAAAGATTGGTCTTTAAATACATTTTGTCTTTTGAATTGTTTGTCTAAAGTCAAGGATCTAGAACTGATACTTAGTTGTAATGATACAGTCTGGTTATTATGCTGTTTGGAGGAGGCCTCACAGGTAAGAGCACTAACTAGCTACCATCACATGTACCTTAGCTTGACTTAAATGTATTAAACGTATAGTTAAGTGATATCAAAATATAAATAACTAAAGTCATGCAAACATATTAATATTTGCTTGATTCCAGTGTTGAATTTAGCACAATTGCATAAACGTTAAGGGATTTTAAGATTCTGAAGTATTATACTAAAAACTCAATAACTTAGATTATTATTTATAGTTTTGCTGAATAGTTTCATGTCCGCTTACCTTAGAAACGTAAAATGCGATGGCAGTGTGCAGATGGGGAGCATGTTAGCTTAGCTTGGTAGCTTCAGCTAACTCTGGAACTTCCAGCTCGGTGGTGTGGAAATGTATGTAAAGTATTATGCAGAAGATGTGATGCGGCATATTTTTGGTATATTCATTTTAATGTCACCCATATGAGGTGTATTGCATCATGTTATCCCTAATATATGTGTGGGTATATACATTCCTGTGTGTTAATAGTTGAAGGAACAAAGTACATTTTTCCTCTTAAATATAGAGAGGTTTTTTATAGGTTCCTGAAACAATGTTCCCTTTTTCTTAAAAGTAGATTAGCGCAATAGTCTTTTTCTTTCACTTTTACCCTTTTTATCAAAAGGGTGTTTTTAGGCTATTTTTGAGGAGGTAAAATGCAGAATTACTTGTGAGTTCTGTTTTGAGTGAAAAGATTACCCCTTTGAGTGTTTTTCTTGGTTAACCATTAGATATAATGGTTAAATTCTTCTTAAGTTAATGATGCGCATCCTGCAGGCCTTGAGAATTGAGTCACACAGTTAAGAGAGACAATGGTCCTTCTGATTCTGGGTAAGCTGACTTCGGGTGGATGGAAGTTCAGAGGTATGAAGACAGTTAAGCTTTGTTGGATAGCTGGTCTTGAGGAGGTCATGAGATGATGACTGTTACATTTCCAACAAGTATGGCTTTCATAAAGAAACACATATGACTTGTGTGATAAGCCACATGATAAGATGTGTTTGTTGCAAAGTGAGCCTGTTTTCTTCTCTGCTGGCACGCGCTGATTCACTGTGACACAGCACCTTTTGCATCTCCCAATGAGATGACCTGAAAAGATGACCAGCTGACCTAACCCCTCCTGTTTTATTCTTGTATATCTCCTGTTGAGTCCTGGCGTTCGCTCTCTCTTCTCGGGCTGCCAGGACCGAAGGATCTAAGCAGCACGCGAACAAGGGCAGAAGTACTCCTTACATTACAGTATAATTGTATTGTATTATATTGTATTGTAATGTATTATATTGCATTGCATTATTACCTTTTATAATTAAAACAGATTATTGTTTAAACTGGTATCCTGGTGTTTTCTGATTTCCTTCCTGTTATGATTTTGAGCATGTCCCGCCTCGGCTCCGCCTCTTTGCCCTTATTTGGATCAGGCTGGAGTAGGCGGGAGTTGAATTCTGACGTCACTGTCGAGTCGTTAGTGGCCGATTCCGCCTACTAAGGGCTTCTCGGCAACTCTGCAGAATCCTATGGGTGACGTCACGGACCCTAGTCTATTTATATATACAGTCTATGCTTGGGACCCGTTATCGTTATCCTTTCTGCGTTTCCATGTCGGCCTCGTGTGGCCGAACCGTCTATATGATAGAGAACTGTATTGTCTCCCTGTGGCTGCAGCCTATAGTCTGTGTTGTGGTGTGTGTCATACTTGCCAACCTTGAGACCTCAGAAATCGGGAGGATTTCAAAACCACCACGTGGTGGTGCTAGTGGATCACCGGAGCTGTATTGGATTAACATTAACTAACATGCTTATTGTAGTTGTGAGTGAATTGCCTTGCGGCCTGTAGCACCATCCTTGATGGAGCATATGTGTGGGCTGGACCTGCATTTTACAGGAAAGGAGTGAGCAGAGGGTCGAGTTGTCGATTCTTGTTGTTTTCTGTGACTCCTCACCTTCTCAAACTTTGAGTTGCGCGCGCTACTAACGAGACACGCTACCATAGAAACCAAACAATGGTGTAGCTGTATTAAAGTCCGAGTGGAAACAGTCCTGAATAAATCTGATTTTGTCAGAAATCGGGAGAAATGCGGGAGAAATATGACCCCGGGAGGAAACCGGGAGAGGGCAATGAAATCGGGAGTCTCCCGGGAGGGTTGGCAAGTATGGTGTGTGTGCGTGTGTGTGTGTGTGGGTGTGGGTGGGGGGGGGGGGGGTTCTACAGTCAGTTTAAGTACAGAAATGTCAAATAATGAAGGCTGTGGTAATAGTACAGTGGTTTCCAGCATATGGGTCTGGCCCCTCTAAAGGGTCACAAGATTAATGTGAGAGGCCGCACATTAATCTTGATAAATGTTTTAAATAAAAGTTTTAGTGGATTAGTTGTTATTGCATATGGGGAACAGTCGTTTTTCAATTAAATTCTTCGATTTCAGACTCCCGTGAACAATAATAAAAAATAAATATATAAGTAAAACTGAGAACCTATACGATTTAAAGTAGCCTACTTAATGCATAGGTTACAATATTTTTGTTTGGGATAAAATATACATATAAAATATAATATATAATAGGATTAAAAACCAACCCGTGAAACAGGATTTATTTTCTCTCAATTGTTATTTTTTGGGAATATTGATGAGTTTCGACATATTACAATGAAACTATATCAGAAGCTAAGAGGGGAAAATCCCTTTTTGATGAAACTGCAAAAAGAAAGTATTAGACATTTGAAATTTGTCACAAAAAAACAAAAATGGAAATACTTGTTTAACAGTTAATAATGCGTTGTTGCCAATGTTATACATGATCACATGCTTTTTTATGTAAAACCATGACCTGAAAAAATACTAGTAACTATAGCTACTATAATAAATGTAATTTTAATGTATGTATATTTTATTTATCTCTAAATAAGTGATCAATGATCAGTAGTATCTTTACACAATTTCTCAATTTATAAAATATTTTAGGCGAGGTTAAGTGAATTGAGACAAAAGCGAAATATTCTAATATGTATTATGTTTAGTTTAAACAATAAAACTGTTAAATAAAAACAAAGCTTGTATTGCCCACAACCTTACCAGCATTCCTCTTGAGATTGTTAATCTTATGGGGGGTGTGTAGCGTAACCTCCTCCTGTCCTGGTGTCACGTGACGCAGCTCTGGTCCTGATGCTGCTATTACCGGGATTCTGTATGGGGAGTGATTAATGCCACTGAGCAACAGGATGAGGAGCAGCAGGAGCTCTGTCAGCAACATTGTGAACCATAACATTGTGTGTTACAAATTGTATACAAGGAGATATACAATATACACGCTACATATCATTTTTGGAAAACAAATTCTAATTGTGATTTAAATGATGAAATGTGTTTGTCGTCTCACCTGTGTTGTAAATCTAAAATGTGTTTGCTTGCTTTTCATTGTCATCATAAAATGCAGCTGAGGTGCTAAGAACAGTATTGTTTCTCTTAACATGGATATATGTCTACTTTTCAGCGAGACCAAAAACCAGACCTGCAGCATTCTGGATGGGCCCCAGGTGTACAGGCCTGAAACAAATTAAATAAACCTTAGCTTCTTGAAACATATAGTCACTTCGGGCTAGTTTAGTGACATCAGTTAGTTGTTTATGCTAATAACTGTAATAACCTAAGAAAACATAGCTGTAACAATAAAATAGTATTTTGGTTATTTAGATATAGGCCATTATCATGTAATCAGTTCACAATCCACGTTTTGTAGCTTTAAGACCTTCCTCTCGCTGCTTTGGGGCACTAATCACCCCCCATACGGAAACACGCATCATCGGTGCTGATGTGAAAATTCCCTTTCTGCCATTTAAAAGCTCCGCTCTGAGGGCAATGTGAGCTCAACGCGCTGCGGACACAAATACCAGATTATGAACACAAATATGTAGGATAGCAGCTTGTGTAAAGAGAGGGACAACAGAAGAGAGCAGGTGTTGCATGTTTTTTAAATGGGAAATCTGTTGGGCAGCTGGCGTTTCAAGGAGCCGAGCACCGTTGAGGAATGCGACTCGACGTGGGGGTCGGACTCCGAGGGCGACGAGCCGGCGGCGGCTGGAGATGACAGCGGCGTGTCGGGCTCCGTCAGCCCGGCGGACAGCGAGCGGGTAGCCGGAGAGCCTGGGGAGAGGTCCCCGCAGGTACAGTGACGGTTATCTGGGCTATGTAGGCTATGTGATGACTCAACGGGGGGCAACCCAGGGGACACTTTAACATGTGTGCCCCGGCAGCACGTTATTGTCGAGGCCAGGACACAGAGAGGGCGACCGAGCATGCTGCTGGGCGAGGAGGCTTCATTCGGAAATATATCAATTTATACTAAATGGAAAGACATTCACTTACATGGTGTGAACTGTAGGCTTATTTACTGTGGCTGAGAGGTGTAATCGACAATTACAAAGTGGGAAACACTTTAACAAAGCTTGAGACAAATTTACATTTTATAAAACAAAATGACACTATCAAAACACTTTTACCAAAGAAAAAACAATTTAACAAGATGCGAAACACTTTTACAAAGCTAGAGACAAATTTACAAGTGTCGAAACACTTTAACATTTCCTGAAACACTTTAACATTTCCTGAAACACTTTAACATTTTCCGAAACACTTTAACATTTGCCGAAACACTTTAACAAACTAGAGAATCAAACCGGAAAGGGAATGCCCATCATACCAGAAGTGACGTGCAAGTGATTGACACAAACTTAAGTTTGTTTTGGCGGATAGAACACCGGTACCTATGGACCTTTATGGTCGTTAAACATGTTTTGTCCGTTCTGTAGAAACCACCTGGGCCAAGTGACATGGTTTTAATCATCACAATATACTTTCTCTTGCGAAAGAGATACGTTCTAAAGTAAAGTTACAGGTTCACCAAGTAGGAAGTGGAGCTGTGCCTTTTACACACAGCCTTCGCTGTGTTTACCTTCATTAGACAGCTAAAGAGCGACTGCAGGCTGCTTCGTTATAGCCACACACACACCTCTTCACACACACACACACACACACACACACACACACACACACACACACACACACACACACACACACACACACACACACACACACACACACACACACACACACACACACACACACACACACACACACACACACACATCGAACTGCCCAATTATTACGCCTTATTATTCTATTTATGAAGGAGATGTCCGGTCACCAGGTTGTGTGTGTGCGTAAATGTGTCTCTAGCTTTGTAAAAGTGTTTCGCATCTTGTTAATTTGTTTTTGTAAATGTTAAATCGTTTTTTCTTTGGTAAAAGTGTTTTGCTAATGTAATTTTGTTTTATAAAATGTAAATTTGTTTTATAAAATGTAAATTTGTCTCAAGCTTTGTTAAAGTGTTTTACACTTTGTAATTGTCGATTGCACCTCTCAGCCACCGTACTACTTACTACTCCTCATGGCATCTAATCCACCCAGCTGCACTTCACTGTCACTTTCTCCATACACTAAAAAACCGAAATGTTGACTTTAATTAAGTGTATTATGTCAACAAATGTCCCATAACTGTAATAGTTTAGTTGAACACAATAATATTACGTTTTTATTTAAACTTAACATTATTGCTTTCAACTAACCTAACACAGTAATGTGAAAATCTGTTGACATAAAATACATGTCATTAAAGACGTGGTACAGTTTACACCCCCACTTAAGGGTCGTAATGTGGGAGTATTATATTGATGTCATATAATACTACATGCATCTTTTTGGTAATTATATGGAATATGCAAACTTGGTGTTTATTTCCTACTTACACACACAGTATATGTAATGATCAAATAAGTTGGTTATTCACAGTTGCTTATTGGTTTCCTCTTTATTTTACACTGTTAAACTTTAATCTCCTTTTGTAAGATTTTGGTCAAATCTGACTTTTTTCAATGATTGCTATTAGAAATGTGCCTTAAAACGTTTCTCAAAAGTCAGGGTGCAGTTTGTAGAAAGAAAGGTAATTTCTGTATAATTTAAGAATCACAAATGCCTCTACATAAAATCAAAAATCAGGGAACTTTACATTTTCATAGCTTCAAGGTGTTTGGTGAAGATTTTAAAGGAATATAATGCCTGAGTTTTGGTAGTCTGTCTTAAAGGGGCCTTATTCTGCTAATTTTCAGGTTCATATTTGTATTTTGTGCCTCTACTGTGACATGTTCTGCTTGGTTAGCTGGCTGGCTCTGTTGTGATTGGTCAACCGCTTAGATATATCACGCCCCTTAGCCTATCACGTGTGTTGGAGATCTAGCAAATAGAAGCGCAACTGTTACATAGCGGTGTCATTATTTTATGGTAATAGACAAAGGAGTCCACTGGAGGGGTTTCAGGCAGAGAGGGAGTGTGTGGGGACACTTTGGGGATTTTAGCCTTTGCAGACCATTTACATGCACACAAAACGCACGACAGGAAATGAAAACCCCAAAAAGTATAATATGGCCCCTTTAAGTTATTTAATTGTCCTTATGATAATATAAAACAAAAAAGAAGATACATACAATTATATAAATACACAAGTGGAAGGAAAAAAACTGAGGGACTTTAAAAAGAACCCAAAAAAAATTACAAATAGCTGTATATGCATAATAACTTTACATAAAAAAATGAATACAATTTCCGTACGACAAGGTTAAAAAAAAGAAGTATATGGGAAAGTTACTTTGGAGTATCGAAGGTGGAAGTTAGCGTGGCCCAGATTTAATTTGAGAATCAGATCTAGTTTCTAGCTTCCTTTTGTAAAATGGTACGGCAGCCCTGATGTGAATTGTCCTCCTTTGCTGACAGAAATGGATGATTGACCTCAAAAGAGAAGTCAGTGCTTTATTCAGCTGAATGCTGTACTGCATCTGTTAAAACATGGGATGTTTTTCTTTCCGATGTGCATTTAAACTGAGTCTCTTTCTTTCCTTTGTCAGCTTACAGATTCTCCAGATTCCGTTCCAAAGATGAAGAGGAGTTTCTACGCTGCCAGGGACCTCTACAAATACCGTCACAGCTACCCGGTACATGCACGGGAAAATAAAGACGGGTGGAATACAAAAAATTCAAATGTAGAAATGGGATGCACGGTACTTACCTTATTGTTCACACCCAGCTTTGTTCTGTGTGCATTTGCAGAACTACCGAAAGTCACGGCAACCCAACGAGTACCGTAACCTGCGCTTCTACTTGAACAAGATCCCTCTAGTGCCTGATGGTAAGATCAGAAACACACACACACACACACACTGAAGAAATGTTGGCTTTAGGTTTAGTGAGGTTTTATTTGACTTGAAAAGATAAAAAGATTAGTGACTGATCCCATGTTCAAACACACTGACGCACACACATGCGCACACACGCACAAACACACATGCGCACGCACACACACACGCGCACACATACACACACACGCACACACACACATGCGCACACATGCACACACACAGACACACACACACACATTAGAAATGTGAGTGGCAGCTAATCAGCCCCTGTTTCTTTGAAGGTATCTACATAGAGGAGATTCTGACCAAGTGGAGAGGCGACTATGACAAACTGGAGCACAATCACACCTACATTCAGTGGTGAGACATTTCATCTGTCTATTTTTGGACCTTATATATGATTGCAAAAACGGTTAGGAAGTGTGCATTGTTATTTGGGTTTTTGCATTAAATGCCATAGTAACTGACAAGGCAAATCTGCTTTTTGCTGCGCGTTAAATTAATGTAAGCTGACTCGTTTTTTGTATTTAAAGGGCCCATGTCATGGCCATTTCTACTGATCATAATTCCATTCTTGAGGTCTACTGAAATAGATTTATATTGTGCAATTTTCCAAACTCACATTGGTTTCTCATACAGCATCTCTGTATAGTATGTGTATTCACCGGTATTCACTCTCTGTCCTAAACGGCTTGTTGGAGCTCGCCCCCCCTCCCTGTGAGCCCAGTGTGCTCTGATTGGTCAAGCGACGTGCAGCTGCTCGTGAGGAGCTGCTGTGAGGAGCAGACAGGGCTTCCGTGTCGGCGAAACAAATACAGCGAGAACAAGCGAAACTCATCCTGAGCACACACAAACACTCACAGCCGAAGTAAAAACAATAAGTGTAGCTTGATATTGAGTAAGAAAAAGGTTTATAACGCTGTGAGCATGGGTCTGCGGAGAGCATTTCTCCGCGATCCCAACTTACGAGTCCGAAAAACGTTTACCCATTTAGACAGTCGTGGTAGATACCTTGTTTGTTTTAAACATCATAAATACACAAACAACAATGAATACTTACAGGTTGTGTACCCGAATCTCCCGCTGGTCCAACAAAGTAGGAACAGCATCGTTCTTCAGTGCCCTACGCTGTACATATCCGGCATGAATCGCTGAAAGGTTTGGGAAGCTTTGTTTCGTGAAAGGCTGGCAGAGGGTGCGGCCATAGCTCTGGGCGTGGCTACTGGGTATCCCTACGTAGCGATACCCAGGAAGTAAATGAGAAATCTCCAACGAGGCGTTTTGGGGAGGTCTTTTCAGTGTTAGAGTTTTACTTCCTTTCAGGTTGTACTTTGAGGGTTTGTGACTCTGCAGACCGTTTACATGCATAAAAACCTTCATAACACACAAGGGGACGGGTAATAACCGGAAAAGCATGACATGGGACCTTTAAAAAGACTGAAGCTGTCTCAGGTGATAACATAGCATCCTCCCAGTGCACATGAAAAACAGTGTTGATGCTCGTAAGTGCTAGCATAGAGTTTGCAGTGATGATGTATTTGGGGTTAGCATCACAAGGGCTCCCTCAACAAAATCATTGGGATTTTCCATTGGATTTTGGAATATTGGAGAAACTAAAACATGTTTAGTAAATATTTATGATACTTACACTCTTAATTCAGGACGATAATCTCCACAAAGTAAATCTGGACTATACATTTTCCCTGGACATGGACATGTGTGTTTTTATCACTTCCAGAAATATTTTTTTCATTTTTGTATTCCCTTTTTCTTGTGGCAGGCTGTTTCCATTGAGAGAACAAGGGCTCAACTTCTACGCACATGAACTGACTCAGGAAGAGATAAAAGTAAGAGAGGAAGGACAGTACTGTATATACACATACAGCTGTTTGCACTCTATCATTGGAAGTCATATTTTCCATTCATCCAATACATTTAAAACATTATTTTAATAATAGGGATGAACCTTGGTGCATTTAGTTGTGATATTGTACCTGTGTGCAGGCCTCTGACCCGCTGTGTTTAATCCCGTCAGGAGTTCCAAAGCACTCGGGAAGCCAAGCGGAGGTTCCTGGCAGCGTATTCCCTCATGCTGGACTTCTACGGCATCAAACTGCTGGATAAGAGTGGGAATGTTGCTCGGGCTCCCAACTGGAAGGAGCGCTTCCAGCACCTTAATGAGTAAGCACACACACATATACAGATAAACACCGTTTTCCATTGCCGTCAGAATGTGTGTGAACATCCCATTGCCCATAATGAGAGGGGAGACACAGTTTGTATCTCATTCCCTCGCTAATCTATTGCTGATCAAAGGTTGCATTGTAACAGGAATTATTCGTAGGAGACATTTCCCCTCATCCTGCATTGTTTTTCAGGTCCCAGCACAACTACCTGCGGATCACTCGCATCCTCAAGTCCCTGGGCGAGCTGGGCTACGAGGCGTTCAAGGCCCCCCTGGTTCACCTGTTCTTGGAGGAGTCTCTGAGCCACAACACTCTTCCCAGCATGCAGCACAGCGTCCTGGAGTACTTTGTGTACACCATCCGTCTGCCGGCCACCCGCAGGCGCCTGCTCCGCTACGCCCGCAAGCACTACCGCCCCCCCCACGGCTTTATGTGGGGGCCGCCGCCTAAAAAGAGAGGCGGGGGAGGGAGCACGGGGGCCGGGAGCAGCGGGATCAGAGCGCCCGCTCCCACGCCAGAGCAACAGAGGAGGGGGGAGGAGATGTCCCCGTCAGCAGGGAGCAGGATTATTGTGTCTTCCCATGATGCCGTGGTATACCAGGAGGGGGCCGTGGGGGGGCTGAAGGGCGGCCCCTCTAACATGGCCGGACTAGAGGGGGCGCTGATGATGGCGGGGGCCCGAGGGGAGAGGAACGAGTACAATGACATCGTTTCTCTGTAGGTTTGATTGGTAGCTGTCTTTAAAATGACCCGCTTCAGTTGTTAGCAGTGACGTGCGGTGAGGTTCATGGCTGGTGAGGCACTGACTCTTTCAGAGTCAGATTTACAAATATTATATTCTGACCTTAATCGAAATATTCTGTTATTTTCAAAAGCTTTTTTGGTCTGATGTTTCGATTCATTTTAAACAGACCGTTCAACAAAAGGATACCCACAATCTAAATATTGGATTGTTCTTTCTTAGTAAGATCCAATTTTCATTACCAATGTGGTCTTACCTTGACTTGAAGATGAAGTCCATGCTATCCTTCTGGACAACAATCTCTATTACTTTTTTGTAAAAGTCCTCCTTATCTTCCTCTAGTTTCAAAAGTCTAGTTTGTTGTTCGCGTCTATACCGTCTCTGCGTAGAATAACAGTAGCAACAAGAACCTGTGGGCTCACGTGCGCCCCCTTCAGTGCGGCAGAGGTTATGGCTGCCTCCCCTGGTGCTTTTTTCATTGCCGTTGTACGGCGAGCCTAAATATCATATATACGTGAAATAAGTTATTTAGAGACTATGGATGGCGAGGATACATGTAATAGAGGGATCTACAAACATTAAATTGGTGACATACAGTGAGATGGTGCAGGCATGCGCTTAGGGTCCGCTTTCCAGACAGTTTCTGTGAGGTGACGCATTCTGAGGTGAGGCAGAGCTCATCTGTGCCTCACCTCACCCCACAGTAACTGGCTTGAGCGCGCTCACAAAATAAGTGCCCGCGCTACATTAGTGCCCGCGCTCCAGCAAGTTACTGTGGGCTTACGAGAGGCAGAGCTCGTCCCTGACTCACTCCTCATCGCTCCCATGTAGTTGTAGCGGAGCTCGGCAAATTTGCTGATTTTGACTATAAAAAGCGATTGGAATCAAACATAAATCACACTTACAACACAGATCAGTGGAGACATTTGATTATTATTACTATCTAGTTTTTCTTTAGTTGTTTTTCTGTTACATTGTAGTATGGCCAGTCTATGAGTATGACAGGGGAGGCCTCCCCTGACTGCACGTCGCTGGTTGTTAGGTAGGGGAGAGAATTTCATTTTTAACGCCAGAATGTTTTTATTAGCAGTAGATATTACGCTTCTGGACTTAAAATGAAGACGGTATTAGTGAACACATTCACAGAGTCTGACGAAGGTGTTATTAGAATACATTCAGGTTAAGGGCTTATCATAAACTATTGTCATGTCTTCACATATACATCTATTCAAGTGTTCTAAATATGGGGGGGGGGACTGATATGTTAGTGGAGGGGGGAGGTCATGGAGCAATCCCAGAACCATCCAAACCAGTAGAGCGGCACGATTTGAGAAAAATGACTAGTGAACATTTTAACAGATTTATTTTAGAAGATCTGGATCTAACAAGGATTTTGTAGTATACCTTCTCAGTAGCTGCTTAAACTTCATTCAGATATTTTAGCATATTTTGACTTTATTATGTATGTTATTCCATTTGTTGTTAATTGTGCTGCCCAGTAGACACCCAAATGATTGTCCTGAGGCTTTTTCTAACCAGGGCTGTGATTACATTACATTAGACAGAATGTTGCCTTATTGAATATTTGTGGTTTTCATGGTTTGGTCTTTCGATGGTTTTGGGTCAGTCTCCTCCTGACACACTGTAGCTAGAGCTCCACAGCAACAAGCTGGACTGAGGACAACTATAATGTGAGAAAGGAGATCAGGTTGAATTTGTTTAATTTTTTGCCCCGATCGTGTGAAAGGACATGAGGGAAGGAAGAGTGATAGCAATACTTTAAAAAACATAATTGTTCGACTTGAAAACCTTTGTTGTTGATAATATCAGGCACAATTTAATATGTATCTACTCTGAAACTTTATTATACTGTCATCACTGACAGGTAGCCCCCCACTGAAAGCTATACATAACTATTGATCAACAGACTTGTTAGTGACTAACCCTAACCCTAACCTAGCAGAAGGGTTTCCAAAAAGCAAATCAGTAGGGAAAAGCAGCAGAACTTTACAAAGCTCTTTATTTTTGCAGCAGGTGCTGTGTTTTTACAGGTCATGTGATCTTACAGGTATTTTGTGGTGTGTTGCACTTTTTTGACAATCTGTGTCTTCCTATTGAAAGGGTTTCTCTATACGGTTGATTTATGTGCGATCAATAACGGTCAGGAACTTGCCACGTTATGAACATGGCTGATTGTTCTCATATTGACTCTCCGCGCTCACATTGACTCAATGGCAGTAATTCTTCGTTTTTTAATATATTAAAAATACGACATGGTTATGCGGTTTACTTTATCCATGTGAATATGACTTTGAGTCATATGTTTTACAAAACGTCCCACCAAAGTAGTATTTCTTTTAAGGAAGTATATGAAAGTGCAGGAAAGGATAGACACTACAGGTTAATAGGGTTTAGATTAGAACTATTATATTGCCTTTCATAAAAATGACCCAGTTAATTATTTACATTAGCACAATTATTTGTTGTATTAAAATGTTCCTTTGATGATATGTTTAAATCTACAAATGAATCATTTTGAGGCTACATTTTTGAGAATTTAAGAAAAATCTACAAAAAATTGAAAAAACTAGTAAAATGACTATCTAAATGTGTATTTTTATTTTTCATTTTCCTTGAAATAAGAGATTATATACAAGCATAATCGGCAAACATTTCAAAATTGCATGGAAAACAATATGTAGTGTCTCGACTGTTGAAACTCGTAATAAATTAACACTCCACTGCGGCAGAATTGACACCCCCCCAAGATGTTGCTAAGATACATAACACCACCTCCATCATGTGAGAGGATAGCAGGTCTAATTTAAAACAGACTTCCTGATAACTTGGATAAGAAAAAGCCATACGAGGTGTCAGACAGCAGCGATGCATTTTATCGTGGTTCAAACGTTCCTCGTTCTTCCTGCCATCACCATCATCATCATGATCAGCTCATAAGGTCTAACATTACTCCGATATAATTGTAAAAATAACTTCAGGTGAATTGTGGGAAAACATGGGCTCAAGTGTCTGGATTTTTTGTGTGTGTACGTGTGTGTGTGTGTGTGTGTGTGTGTGTGTGTGTGTGTGTGTGTGTGATATTCTTAAGTGCCTATTTTGTATTTTTTATGGTTTATGCAGTGTCTTTCCCAACTGATTTCCTGTACATCCTGTTTTTTGTACAGCATTTTGATATTGACATTATTGTTTGCATTATAGTCATATACAGCATGAATATTGATGTACAGTAACAGCAGGAATCCATCTAGGCATTGGTATAGAGCAGAGGTTAATAATATATGATACTTGAAATGGTTTAACTGGCCTACTGATGAAATTGTGATTGTTCTATACATGAATATTCTCTGCTTGCTGGACATAACTGGACATTTGCCCGAACAATGTGAAATTGCCACACCTACTCAAATAAACATGGGGAACGTGAAATAAGAATTGTGTCATCTGTAATTGTTTAAAGAACGTGAGCACTGTGTATATCACTGTACATTTTATTTTAAAATGGATAAGCAGATATCTATCCGATGCAGAGTTGTTCTGAAAGCAGGAATAATCCCAAAGGTTGAGGTAAATCTCCGTGGTTAGGGCCAAAGAACCTCATAAATAACACATCATCCTAGCATAAACTAAAAGGTCCCATGTCATGCTTTTCCGGTTATTACCCATCCCCTTGTGTGTTATGAAGGTTTTTCTGCATGTAAACGGTCTGCAGAGTCACAAACCCTCAAAGTACACCCTGTAGCGAGTAAAACTCTAACACAGTCTATGCTGCCCCAACACGCCTCGTTGGAGATTTCTCATTTTCCATTGTTTACTTCCTGGGTACTCTGACGTGGGGATTACCCAGAGGCCACACCCTCTGCCAGCATTTCACAAAAAACAAAGCTTCCCAAACCTTTCAGCGATTCATGCCGGATATGTACAGCGTAGGGCACTGAAGAAGATGCTGTTCCTACTTTGTTTGGACCAGCGGGAGATTCGGGTACACAACCTGTAAGTATTCATTGTTGTTTGTGTATTTAAGATGTTTAAAACAAAAAAGGTATCTACCACGACTGTTTAAATGGGTAAACGTTTTTCGGACTCGTAAGTTGGGATCGCGGAGAAATGCTCTCCGCAGACCCATTCTCACAGCGTTATAAACCTTTTTCTTACTCAATATCAAGCTACACTTATTGTTTTTACTTCGGCTGTGAGTGTTTGTGTGTGCTCAGGATGAGTTTCGCTTGTTCTCGCTGTATCGCCGACCCGGAAGCCGCTCCTCGCAGCAATGACCCCCGCATCGAGCCCCGCAACGTCCCGGCCAATCAGAGCACACTGGGCTAACAGGGAGGGGGGGGCAGGAGTTCGAACAAGCCGTTTAGGACAGAGAGTGAATACCGGTGAATACACATACTTTACAGAGATGTTGTATGAGAAACCAATGTGAGTTTGGAAAATTGCAGTATAAATCTATTTTAGCATACCTCAACAATGGAATTATGATCAGTAGAAATGGCCATGACATGGGCCCTTTAAGAGAAAAGTATATGGCATTTTTCTGTGTGTATGTATTGTAAAAATATTGAAAATAGTCAAATAATGCAGGGAGGGGAGCATGCAATCGAGAGCTCTCTGAAATAAAAATAATTACGAGGTTGTTGCTAAAAAAAGTTAATAAAAAGCTGTTGTAAAATATTAATTATAACAATCTATATTGTCCACCAATATGGATATTTCATATTGGATTCATAGATTGGTTAAAAAAAACACCATAGTAATTTACATAACATTGAATAAATAAGACAACATGCTAATTGGTTTCAGTGTATATGGTAGGAAGATTCACTTTGTTAATGTTCCTGGTCATGTTGTATGTTATGAGGCTGAATAACTCGGGATAACTTAAGGCAGAGACTGGAGACTGGAGCTTCTGTGATTGACATGCTTTACTTGCTACCAAAGCCGGAATCCATTAGTTTTGTACAGTCTTGTATACACACAGATACATTACATAGTGTCTTCTTATTCCTCAGAAACTAAATAATTGTTATACAACTGTACTTTACTTAAACTTTATTACATCTTAAGCATTTCTTTCTAACAGCTAAATTGTGGAGTTGCTGAAGTGCTTTGAGAGAGGTACCTTCATACAGTACAGACAGAGACTTTTGTGTTACTCAATATAACTCAACATAACATATATTGATATACAGTATACAGTATATATCTGCAGTGACTCTTGAGTCAGAGGTGATTCCACTGCACCTCACTCTGTGTGGTCCTTCAGTGACAAGTCTTTAAAGGTCTCCTATCATGCTATTCTTAGGCATATATTATGGTTCTCAATACAAATATATAAAAACATGTCTATGATGTGTTTTGCTCAAAATACCAAATAGATCATGCATTTTAGACATCCCTCATATCCCTCTATTTGAGCCCTGTTAGAGAAACGCAGATTTTGGGTCCTTAGCTTGGGAAAAAAAGGGAGAACTAATGCCTTCTCAGAATGACCCGGCATATACAGTTACATTCTGCCGTGATCAAACCACATCAAGGATTATTTCTGAAACAGTATGGAGCTCAAATGCTTTTTCTCTTGAGGGTTTACTACAAGGTGAGGTCCTTTTTTAATTTCCTGCTTTTTTACACACACTCTCTCCAGTTGAAAAGGTTAGCTCTGAGTGTTAGCGATGCTTGCAAAGACCATATTACGTCCAAAACAGTCGTGCATTGTTTCTGATAGCAACGTTTCTGATTGGGCCGTGGGTCCACATTTCCGATATTACGTCATATCGGACGCAAATCTGGATCAGCTCCGTTGTAGCCCCGTTTTTAGAGATTTGGGTACGGAGGAAAAGAGAGAGGGTTCTGTTTTCAGACACTTTGTGAGTTCCTGACACACCGGGGACACATATTTATGTATAAAAGACATCAAAAAGTGCATTTTGCATGATAGGTCCCCTTTAAGGTACAGTATAACATGGCTGATGGTGTCACAAAGCCTTTTTATCAGATATTGATAAGTGAAAGAGTGTTGTTTTGAAAGTTTATTATCTAGTATGTGTTTCTTTGCAACTTTTAAATGCTGACACAGATAAAGATTCATGTCTTCCAAACAATATTGGTGTTCACAAATTTGGTAGGGATTTAGAGGAACATGACATTTCACTATGGTCTTCACCGCATCACATAATGCATGCATGATACTGTGCATCATGTCAATCCAAAGTGCACACTCAACTGATTCAGACTGACAGAATGAGGAGGCCTTCAGTGTTTGCTCGAGCAGAAGAAGTGAGTGAGCGTGTGTTGGGGCGGGGTTATGGGGTGATGTAGGGATACTTGATGTTGGCAGCTGACTGTAAGAGAAAACCACGCTGCTCATCAACGGTGGTGGAATGTAAGTAAATGCTTATTCTTGAGCTAAAAAATGTAAATTGAATCCTAATGGTTGACATGTTACAATTTTAAAAACATGGCAGCTCAAGTGATGTATGCATATTCCCATCTTCAGAATGCATTGGAGCCCGCCTTTCCAACATTATGTTCTTCATACTCAATGTTAGGGAATCATTTGCTTAGGTGTTCAACCTTCGACACAGTTCATCATTTTCTCCTCTCACTGTCTCCTTTCCCATGGCATAGGTCTACGGCCTCGGGTATTGCTGCTGTCTCTTTTAAGGAGGAGCAGCTTGGGCGCATTGTTGTTGCCAGAGTATGACAGAGCACAAGTCGCCATGAGGTAGTTTACTGTTCAGGGACGTAGGTTCCCTGGCGCACATTCTTTTCTATGGACGAGAGCTCTAGTTAGATTCAGGGTCCATATTTGTTTAGTCTCACTGATAAAGAATGTTGATTATTACACTCTGAAGTTAAAACCTCGAGCTACAGAAGGGTTCTTCAGAATTGGTTTGGCAACCGCTGTGTCAACTCGTGACGCACCACCTGTCTTGTCAATTCTCCGGCCGAAGCTCCAAATAAACCGTCAGTGTTTGCCATCAAAGCTCCAGCTCTCCTCGTGTCTCTCTGAGTCCTGACTCTCCATTGCATACAGAAGTTTCCCCCACACTCAACATACTGACACTAAATTATGGAAGCAGGTAGCAACAAATGGCTGTGTGAGTGTGTGTGTGTGTGTGTGTGTGTGTGTGTGTGTGTGTGTGTGTGTGTGTTTGTGTGTGTGTGTGTGTCATACATCTTTAAACACCCCTAAAAGGTCTGCAGGTGCTCTGGAGCTTCAGGGTCAGCTTAGCCTGGAGCAAGATGCTAACTTTAGCATGCTAACATGTCCACCATGGCATCAAATGCTGATGTTCAGCAGGTATTGCTGAAGGAAGTGTCTTAGCCTTGCAGTTAATACATGGAAATTCAACATTATCCTGATGGCGCTGCCCAGTTTATGTGCAGGGATGAGTCCTAAAACCTGGAAATAAGTCGGCATTCTGCCACTTCAGGTTACCTCGTCTCAAATCCGATTGTTTTCTAAAAGGCTTTTCTGGTTTGATGCATAAAATCAGGTCTGTGGTTAACACAAGCATAAAGGTCCCATGTCATGGCCATTTCTACTGATCATAATTCCATTGTTGAGGTCTACTAGAATATATTTATATTGTTCAATGTTCCAAAATGACATTGGTTTCTCATACAGCATCTCTGTGTATAGTATGTGTATTCACTCTCTGTCCTAAACGGCTTGTTGGAGCTCCTCCCCCCCCCCTCCCTGTGAGCAGTGTGCTCTGATTGGTCAGCTCGCCCACTCTGTTCTGATGAGTCTACCACCGTTACAGCTGGACATCAGCGTTTATGTGTTACAATGGCGTTTGTTAGCAACCAGAAAATGACACCAGTAAGGACAAACAGATGAGGATGCTGCGTGGGGTCTGGGTGCCGTGTTGGCGGGACGTTGCGGGGCTCGCTGCTCCGCCCTGTGGGGCTCGAGGAACGGACAGTGTGAGGTGGATTACTTGTGTCGTGTCCTGGTTGCTGCGTGGGGTCTGCGTGCCATGCCAGCTCCGCGTAGCTCAGGCTGTGTGAGTGGGTGTGTGTGCGGAGCTTAGGCTGAGTGAGTGTGTGTGCGGAGCATCCAGGGAAACACAGCGGGAAATCCACCTCACACTGGCTTTGAGGGTTTGTCACTCTGTAGACCGTTAACAAGCAGAAAAAGCTACATAACACACAAGGGGACGGGTAATGACCAGAAAAGCATGACATGGGACCTTTACGAGATGTTTCCATATAAAGGGGCATAGTTGCTTTATTTAAAGTAAAATAAATTAAAGATTCAATAAAAATATGGAATACATTTTTTATATAAAGATAAGAAGTCTAATTAAGAATTTGCAAAAAAAAGGTACATTTAAATAAAGATATTTAAATAATAATAAGTAGTAAAATGTCAAATTAAATATAAATTAAAAATGAAATGTACAACAGTACATTTCATTTTTTATTTATATTTAATTTGACATTTTACTACTTATTATTATTTAAATATCTTTATTTAAATGTACCTTTTTTTTGCAAATTCTTAATTAGACTTCTTATCTTTATATAAAAAATGTATTCCATATTTTTATTGAATCTTTAATTTATTACGTGTTTATTATGAAGTTTAACTATTTCATTGTTATTTGTCTGCCTATCCTTATATATGTACAGCTGTTTAGCCGCCTCCTTTAGAACATTGTATACCTCCATCACACGGTTCATACTGTCTGTGCTGCACTCTGTTTTTGCTGCTGCATTGTTGCCCAACAACAGATGGTGTCTCCATGTGCTTCCTGTCCTCTCGTCCTCCATTTCCTCCCAGCATGTTCAGCAGCACGCCGCCGAGCCTTTAAAGAGATATCACACAATATGATCCTCTCCCCATCCTTGAGAGGAGAGGATGGGAGTCTGAGACCCCGCTGGAGGCTGCTAATCAACAACACTCACTTAGTTCCATCAGTCTGAGGGTCTGTTAAACAGCAGGGAGCTCTGCTGCGCTGTAGGCCCACATAGCGTAGCCTGCACCCCCATTTCCATCTTATTTTGTACACATAAGCTTTTCATATTATCAGACTTTTAAGTATACACTAAATGTGTAATAAAGACGTTGTTTAAACCTATGTTTCTTATGGTATATTGCGTTCATTAATAAACAGTTTTGTCTAGTAGTACTTGTTTTAAAAAATAAATAAAAATAAATTTATTTACACTGTATCTGTGTGATCAATGGTTTACTCAAGGTTTTTGATGGACGATATATTATTTCCTCAGATGGCATTGTCGATATTCTATTTCCTTTAGCCATCAAATATAATATAATAATTTCCCCCAACCCTTCCACATGAAGAAAACAACAGCTGTTCACGTAATGTCATTTCCTAATGTATTATAGATCAGAAATAACTAATAATAAGAACACACTTTGGATTGGGACATTTTACCACCGCTTCGATCAAGAAACATCTATAAACGATCTTTTAACATTAAAAACTACTACTACTACAAAAAAAAGTAAACTATTTAATGAAAAGATAGAATATAATGATCAACAAATTGCAAAACTTTCTTATAAATTATTTATTAATGTTAATAAGGCTATTTATGCAACCTATAAACCCTCTATAAAGGATGCCTTGTTAGTACCCACTTGACATTAGAGGGAATGACTGCTGACACTTTGACCATTATGTGCATGTAGGGTTTACATGTATTTGTTGTTTTTCCTTCTGTCTCCGTCAGGTTTGAGTGGAGACCCTGGACATCAGCAGCACTGAGGCTGTACTCCCCATAGTTTATTGCGTAATCTCTCACACTGACATGCTGTTATGTGTGAACCTCCTGACTGTGGCGCTGCTTCAGTCTCGATGACGGCTGAAACTCTTCTCAGGTTTGGTTTCGGGGCGTTCTGTCTTGTGGTAGAAACTGGAGCTGAGGCAGGCCATCAACTTCTGCTTTCTGCTGTACCCTAAACAGGAACATCTCTCTGTTTCCCTCAGCTACCAGCGGCCCTGTGTCTGACTCTGACCAATGACAGCAGCCAGATACCTGATACCAGACACCTGCTGTCTAGACTCCAGAACTGTATGCAAAAACCAAGGTAGTCACACTATGTTTAGTCATCATAATTCATTTTATTGAATCATCAGCCAATCATAATAACATCTTACAGGTTTTAATCTGTACTGAAACAAATAATAATATATATATAAACAATTCAGACACGCTCAAAAACTCACATAATTTATTTAACTACATTTGAAAATAAAATAGGGGGAAATAAACGTCATACATATATATTATTATAGGGAGAAAAAAAATATTTATATAATTTAAAGATTTCATCATACAATTTTGAATGTTTCGTTTTGGTAAAATATTTAAGTTTAAGTTAAAAAATATATATATTATTTTAACTTACATTATAACACATATGGGTTTTTATTTGACATCTATATGTGAAAATGTTTACCATATATACAGTAAAGTCATTGTTAAATGTGTCATATTCCAAATGTGTACTTACATGGTTACATTCATCATAATGGTTGGTATTGCATTGCGGTGCAGATGTGTAATACTGTAAGTGTAAACGGTGTGACAGTGATGCTCTGGCTCCACCTCGTGGCAGGTGGAGGAACTGCGCCTTTTACTGCAAAGAAAAAAATAGTAAAGTAAATCAGTAGAGTATAAGTAGTAGAGTAAATCAAACCTGGCCATTTGCTAAACCTTAAACAATAAATCATAGAGTACAGAAACAAACAATTAAAATACATAATAATATAAAAATATACTTCTTATCTGCAAATCATATTACTTTTCAGTACCGACAGTGTTTTTTGTTAAAACAGTAAAATATTCAAAGTCTTATCTTAAGGTTTATTTGTATACATTTTCTAGAACTGTCAACCCCTCTCATGGGTTGTCTTAGCTGAAGGAGTTGGCTCAGTATCAGTGACCTACATTGTAATATAAAAGTTATTTGAGTGGATGTAAACAATTATTTATGGGGGCACAAGACCCTAAAACGGGTTGATTTGGAAAGAATGTGTCAACACTCAAATATTCCAGGCAATAAAACATTTTAAATTGTAAAAGGCCATCAAGCTTGATTCATGAATGCGAAAAAAACAAACTTTTAATAAATCATTTCAATAAAATACTGCTGAAAGTAAATCAGACACAATGGGCCCCTGGTGTAAAAGGCCCCCACCTCTTCTAAAACGTATATCTTTATATGGTGGGTATGACCTCTAGTGTTCATAAACAGAAATCACATCCTTTCAATTTCAAGCTGGAGCACTGGACAAACATTCCCCTTCAAACAGCCACATCCTCCCTTCCTATGTATTACAGATTGTATATTTTTAGTTCTAGAATAGCAGACTTGCAAGCGCACACGGACAACACCCACTGCTTCTGCTTCCTCTGTACGTCTTTCCTCCTAACGCCACTTAACATGCCAGAGAAAGCCTACACACACACACACACACACATATTACTGTAGTTATAGGACTTCAATTCCTTGAAATAAATTATGTTAGTTTCTGTTTTTGATGAAGTTACGTACATGGACATGTTTGGATTCACATTTGCGTGGTCATTAAGAGGTTCTTAGAAATATTAAACACTGTAAAGTCCTCATTTGTAATGTTCTTGGACTATTAAGTCACATACTCTGAAGTGTGCGTTTGTGTCTCCCTGCTCCGGTGGGACAGCCGTGACCGAGGTCGCTGGGTCATGGAAATGGGCCAATCACAGATCTGCCGCTCCCCATTTCCTGTCCTGAATGACAAGCATTCTCCAGCAGTCCAACGAAGGATGTCAGAGCAACTGCAAATCCTTCAGTTGATACTCAAATCAATCTTTATTTATACAGACTGCTGGACACTTGCATCAAGTTGGATTGGACACTGTTGATGCCCTTTTTTAAAGCTCCATAACTTACATTAGCTATACTAACGTTCCAAAATGGCATTGCAGACATTTGAAAGGAGAAAAAACTCACTTCCATGGTACGTTGTTCAGTTTGTGTATCGAAAGTCTAACTTGAAGCAAATTCTTGAAATACCAACGTTTATTGCCTCATTTCCAGAGGATCGTTGGGTTTGCCTCGACTCAACTCTCATGGTACTTTTCTCTATACCTTTTCCCACTGAATAGAGCATGGTCTAATGAGACCCTCACTGAATCCTTAAATCTGAAGGCATTTTGGTCTCTTTCACCATGTCGTTTACGGCGTCGTTTTTATGTTCTGCCACTCTTTGACATTGTTCAACAGCGGCTAGTTGAGTTCCTGAGCCAGGCAGAATAAACATACCCCCTCCCGGCCACCAGGAGGAGACACCGAGAGTGTAGGATGTTTACACTGCCTATAACTCAGAGGTCAAAAGAGCAATTTTGAATAGTGCATATGAAGTTAGTTGATACCTTTAGGAAAAGAGGCTTAAATAAGTAAGTTTGTCATAGAACTCAAGTTGCAAGGGTAAACCTATTCAAGTTAAAAAAACATGTTTTAGTTTCATGCAAAACAGCAGTCTCCTGGGAGAAGATCAAATCAAATCAAGTTTTATTTATATAGCACATTTATAAACGATTTTTGGTCGAGCCAAAGTGCTGTACTAAAATTAGCCTACAGTAGAGACACTTTACAGCAAATACAACAGCACAGATTGTTCAGAATATCAGTATGAGAAAAAAACGACACCCTCTGTCCTTAGACCCCTGATGCTGTAGAGTTGCAGAGATCATGTATTTTTGTCGACCTGAAAACCCTAACCCCTCAAAAAACCATTGACTCCAATTCAAGGGAACCAGATATGCTGACTAATTTCCTGGTTTTAAGACCCATTCCTGCACCACTCTATATGACCCATCATTATACCCCAAACCCCTCCCTGTGCTGCCCTCTTTACACCATGTCACCTGACTTCCTGTTGGCCCCCGCCTAACAATCTTGAACCTTCCTGCGTTCCATCCATCAACCAGTTTACCCGAAAAGGCTACTGAGCCAATCAGGAGGTAGATGCTCCGGATGAGAACTGTAAACAATTTTAACATTGAAGGAAAATGACATTTAAAACAGTCGGACAAAGTTTTCCAACTATCTAGATCTTAATTAGAAAGCAGTCTGTTGTGTCTATTGGCACTATACTTCCTTTGTTCTTCTTCTACTGAGACAGATTTAACAGGAAATACTGGATTATCACTTGTTTTACTTCCAAATACTGTAGCAGCAACAATATACTGCTGCATGATCTGCCTCTTTCAATGTAGTGGAGCTTTTGAAAGCTGAACTCTACTTCCTGAGTTTCCCAGCACCACGGAAGGAAATGCTGAGGCTGTTTGGACAGAAACTGCAAGAGGCACAGCATGTTTTCATTCATGGTATGATGGATGTGGGGGCGGGGGAGTTTGTAATATTAGAATGCTTCCTTCCTTCCTTCCTTCCCTGTCTGTGGTCCTGTAGTGTATGTTACACCCACATCCCTTCAGCTCTAACTGATGAAGACCAAACCCATTCAGGAATGACCATTGTTGTCTGAACTCCCATCTCTTCTTCAAACTCGCTGCATCTCCCTCATATATTGTCCTCGTTCCCATTCTGCTGCTGTTTCTGGTTATCCTTCCATTCCTCTCTCCTCGTCCCCTGAGAGGATGGAGCCGCTCCCCTCCTCTGGGAACCGAAGGGACGGAATGGAGACAACTATCTCTGAATCACATTCCTGATCCTCTTTGCAGTCGTTCTGTTGGTACAATGTGACTCTTGCTGTGCATCATCATCGAGGTAGTACTATGTTAGGACTCAATAGGCGCGTTCACACCGCAGTACTTTTCCCACTTTAGTTCCTAAATGTTGCGTTCACACCAAATAATTCCAGAACTAAAATGAGTTCATGAGAACCTTTTCACCCCCTTTTCCGTCCCTGCTAGAGAGCAGGGACTTTCGTGGGAGAAAAAGGTTCCTATTTCTGATTGGCTGGGCGGATTGCAAACCACGCCCCGTAAAACTCCCAAAAAGTTTTGTGAAGCCGCCATTTTATTATCCTTGCATTAGCATTATTAGCATTAGCATTAGCCTAGCGCACAAACGCAGAGAGACTAATTTATGGCAACACAAAAGTGGTTGGAGATGAGGAGGTAGAGATGAGGAGGTGGAGATGAGGAGGTAGAGATGAGGAGGTGGAGATGAGGAGGTGGAGATGAGGAGGTAGAGATGAGGAGGTGTCTGCGTTCTGGCGATTTACTCGGAAGGCTTCAGTCGAAGCTGCTGGGAGTCCCAGCAGCTTCTACTGAAGCCAGTCCCCAACTCCGGGGACTTCGGGTGGCAGTATACGCGTTGAAGTGGTTTGCGGGCTGTCAGTAAACCCAAAGCAGAAGAAGACGAAGTGACGTCAGCGGCTTCATTTGCCTAATCCTCCCCCAGGGACTTATTCCGGTGTGAACGTGATCTGTACTTAGTTCTGATGAACCTTTGTGGGAAAAGTACTGCGGTGTTAAAGAGCCTATTGGGTAACTGAATGTCACTCTGAATTGGGAAAATATTTCAATGATACTTTGCGTTACTGTAAATCATAGCACTAAACATGAAAAGCTATGTAAAGTTACTGGTGTTAGGAGCCAGCGTCAGCTATTGAATTGACCCTACGATGAAATTGAACATCTTCTTATGCTCATATAAATATTGAGTTATTTTTTTAATGTTAATCTCAGAATTCAGGAGTGAAAAAAAAATGTTTTGGAAACAAAGTAGGCTACTTTGTAAATATAATTCCTGTTTATTATTATTATCAACACAGTTAGTTTTTTATACAGTGAGGTAAATGGTAAATGTGCATGTATGTCGTTCAGTATGCGTTTACAGGTGATACGTCTGCATTTCCTGCCAAATACTAGCCTCAAAAAGATTAAAATATAATGAATGCAAATAAACTACTTCTACACTGAACAAAAATATAAACGCAACACTTTTGTTTTTGCTCCCATTTTTCATGAGATGAACTCAAAGATCTAAAACATTTTCTATATACACAAAATAACCATTTCTCTCAAATATTGTTCAAAAATCTGAAAAAATCTGTGATAGTGAGCACTTCTTCTTTGCCGAGACAATCCATCCCACCTCACAGGTGTGGCATATCAAGATTCTGATTAGACAGCATGATTATTGCACAGGTGTGCCTTAGGCTGGCCACAATAAAAGGCCACTCTGAAACGTGCAGTTTTGCTTTGTTGGGGGGGTCTGGGGGGGTCCGAAATCCAGTCAGTATCTGGTGTGAGGGGTAGGGTTAGGGTAATGTTGTGAATTGATTGGCCCATGGTGGTGGTGGGGTTATGGTATGGGCAGGCGTATGTTATGGATGACGAACACAGGCCACTCAATTCACAACATTACCCTAACCCTAACCCTAACCCTACCCCTAACCCTAATCCTACCCCTCACACCAGATACTGACTGGTTTTCGGACCCCCCCCAGACCCCCCCAATAAAGCAAAACTGCACGTTTCAGAGTGGCCTTTTATTGTGGCCAGCCTAAGGCACACCTGTGCAATAATCATGCTGTCTAATCAGCATCTTGATATGCCACACCTGTGAGGTGGGATGGATTATCTCGGCAAAGGAGAAGTGCTCACTATCACAGATTTTTTCAG